ATTTCATCATCACGAGAGAGGACCACACACATACACACAGGTGATAGAGAAAAAAAATCAAATGAACAAACACCAAATAAAAGCATTGTAGAACTCAGTTAGATAAAGCGAGGTCAAACTCCTGATTTTTTGTGTTTTTTTTTTATTTTTTTTCGTTGCTATTTATTTTAATGAGGTAATTACGTTGTATTGTTTGTGTAGTGTGGAGCTGTGTGATGATTTGACCGAACATGAATTTATCTGATATTACCGTAGAATTTGGCGGGTTTTGTATCAATGACAGTATACACACACACACACACACACACACACTTTAATAAGAATAATAATAATATACATGACGCGAAATTAGCTTGATATCAGCGCCATCTATTGACTGTGAGGTGAACTATAGCTTGATATCAGCGCCATCTATTGACTGTGAGGTGAACTATAGCTTGATATCAGCGCCATCTATTGACTGTGAGGTGAACTATAGCTTGATATCAGCGCCATCTATTGACTGTGAGGTGAACTAAAGTCTCCTCACGCCACCACCAGAGGGAGCCACTATACTGCTCGCCGGGTAACTACACTTCATGGTAACGTGTGTGTCTGACCTGACCTGACCTGATCTGATTCGTGAGAAGTAAAACAGTGGTTGGTTAGGTGACCCTGATTCATATAGAAGGTAAAAAAATAAAAAAGGTCAGTATGTTGTTGACCTTGACCCTCATGTCCTCCTCCACTGGTTCAGGTCATCGCTGGGAAACTACTGTGTCAGCTTTAGGAGGGTCAAGGGTCAAAGGTCAAGTGATAGTCTGCGCCGTGGCAGTGCCTCCCTGACAGACGACTCGGTAAACAAAATGCATATTGACTTTGACCTGCATTTTCTTCTCATAAATTGGACTTGTTTCAACGCTCCACCCCATCCTCCATCAACGCTCCACCCTACTCCCATCAACGCTCCACCCCTAGTTTCAACGCTCCACCCCATCCTCCATCAATGCTCCACCCTACCCCAATCAACGCTCCACCCTACCCCCTTCAACGCTCCACCCCCAGTTTCAACGCTCCACCCCATCCCACATCAATGCTCCACCCTACCCCCATCAACGCTCCACCCCCATCCTCTCTGTAAGACTAACGCGACACAGAAAATCTACTTGATAATGTAGAGAGGGGGGAGGGGGGGGGAGAGGGGGGGTGAACCTGGATTAAGGTATTGATCTGAGGAAGGTAATCTTTAGTCTAACCCAGGAGATAAACTTACCACGGTAGCTAAGTCACTCTGTTGTCCCCTCCTTCCTTCCCTCTCTCTCTCCTTCCCCCCCATGACCTGGCTTACGACCTCTCTGGAACATTGAGAGGTTATGACAGACAGACAGACAGGCAGACAGACAGACATACATTAGAATTCCCCCACAGCCTTCCCTTACCTTTTGTCTCTTGGTCAGGTAAAGTACTGCACCACCTCGAGTCCATTTAAAGACGAGATTTTATACTTCATATATGTTTGTTTATTAGTTAGACGTTTCTTTTATCCACAAGCTACAATGTTTACTTATTTTAGTTGATTTTTATTTTTATTTAATTATTTTATTTATTTTATTTATTTTATTTTTATTTTTTATTTATTATTGTTTTTTTTGTTTTTTAATATTTTATTTTTATCAGTTGGATTCTAGTTATGCTTCTCTTCACTTGCTACAGGAGGGTACACCTTATGTATAAAGTACCTAACTTAACCTAACCTAACCTAACCTAACTTAAACTAACCTAACTTAACTTAACCTAATCTAACCTAACTTATTGGATCACGAAGAGAAAAAAATTATTATGCAAAAAGGAAAAAAAATATAACTGAAAAATCCACGAGGTTTATATATATATATATATATATGAGAGATGATATGGTGTGGTAGTGCTCATGAAACACACACACACACACACACACACACACACACACACACACATGTTTACCTAGACTAGTATTACTGTGTCAAGGTGTGTGTGTCGGACATTCTGAGGTTAGGAAGGGGGTGGAGGGAGGGGAACTGACATTTCTTGTTGTGTGTGGGTAGAAAGGTAGAGGTAGGGGGTGGGGGTAGGAGGTGGGGGGGTTGAGACGTGTAGAGGTCTTAATAAATGGTATAGTGGTATTATGGTTGTATGTGATGGTTGGGTGTGAAGACAGAAATGGTGCAGGATCCCAGGTTGTGTAAGGAAGGTGCTGGAGGGAGGGTAATGGAGGTAGAAATGAGGAGAGAGGGAAGGGAAGGACGTTGGTGAAGGTTAGGGAGATGGAGGAGAATGAACAGTGGTGGATGGGCCAAATTGAGGAGGGGGCAGCTTGTCGTGCCGAGGAAACATGACCGAGTTGCCTGCATGATGCACCTCGCCCACACTCCTCAACCAGGACATTGCCTCTGCCTGACACCTCCTCTCTCATCCTTGTGGTGTGTGGTGGATTGGTGATGAGACTGGTCCTGTGTCATCCTCACCCCTCACCCCTCCCCTCACCCCTCCCCTCCCCCCCCTCACCCTCCCCTGGCCGTCTCGTGAATGGTGCCGCCCACCTTCCCTGATCAAAAGGGAAGGGAGACATACTTGATTTTGGGAGGGTGGTCATACTTAGGAGTCTAGTTCAAGGTGCTACTCGAGGGTGTGATAAGTGTGGACGATGCCATTCATCCCGTGGGGGAGGGAGGTGTGTCCGGTAGGTTTAAAAACAAAAAAGTCACCACTATTACCACTACCACTATTACCACTACCTCTACCACCACCACCACCTCTACCACCACCACCACCTCTACCACCACCACCACCTCTACCACCACCACCTCTACCACCACCTACCTCTACCACCTACCACTACCTCTACCTACCTCTACACACAACCACCTCTACCACCACCACCACCCTCTACCACCACACCACCTCTACCACCACCACCACCACCACCACCACCACCACCACCACCACCTCTACCACCACCACACCACCACCACCACCACACCCACCACCTCCCTACCCACCATCCCCACTACCACCACCATCACCACTACCACCCACCACCACCTCTACCCTGCCTCCACCACCACCATCACCACCACCATCACCACCACCACCACCTCCACTACCACCATCACCACTACCACCCACCATCCTACCACACCACCACCACCTCTACCACCACCACCACCACCACCACATGTAACAAAGAGAGGTTAAAAAGAGGTCCAGGTTCCTCAGTCCTCTTGCCACCATCTCCCTCACACTCCCCTCACCCCTCTCCCCTCACCCCCTCACACTACCTCACCCCTCCACCCTCACCCCTCACCCCTCCCCCCTCCCCACTACCTCACCTCCTCCCACTACCTCACCCTCCACCCCTCACACTACTTCAATGATTCAGTTCCATATTCTGGAAAATATTGATATTCATGAGGCTGAGGAGTGTGTGTGTGTGTGTGTGTGTGTGTGTGTGTGTGTGTGTGTGTGTGTGTGTGTGCAGAAATGTTTAACACCACGACACATGTGAAGGTAATGCAGGTGTGTGAAGCGAGATACCTGACGCACAAGCTAAGTTATTCAGAGTGGCTGTAACTCGTGTGACGCAAGATAGAGGTGGCGGCAAACAGGTGTCTGTGTGGCGTAGGGAAGAGTGTGACGCAACAGGGTGTGACGTCTGTAGTGTGGTATGTATATGCAGTATATAATGTGTGACGCCACGAGGTTGTGATTTGATGATGATGATGATGATGGATGTGACGCAAGTTATGATGTGAATCAAATAATGATGTGACGCAGGCTATGATGTGACGAAAATTATGATGTGACACAGGTTATGCTGTGGCGCAGGTTATGATGTAACGCAATTTATGATGTGATGCAGGTTATGATGTGACGCAGGTTATGATGTGACGCAAGTTATGATGGACATATAAGACATACAAACACCATATCTTTCACAATACTTGACGCATGACGCAACACCTGGTTTAAAAACAATAATAATTCCCGTAAGTGAACAAAATGCCAAATTTATCAGAGTTGGGGTATTTTTTCCTCCTCTGGTATTTTTTCCTCCTCCTCCTCCTCCAAAAAGGGAAAGTAATGGTGGAAGAGGCGAGTGGGAGAGACAAGTGGGAGAGGGAACTTTTATGGGGATGAATGAGAGGGAAAGAGAAGTGGGGAAAATCCGTATTGTTTATGACTTAAGACTTGAAGTATGGAAGCACTTATGGTTGTGAGTGGGCGAGTGTTTGATGTGGGAGTGGGGGAGGAGAGTGTGGGAGGGAGAAGTGTGGAGGAGAGTGGAGACATAATCAGGGGTGTGGTGAGCAAGTGGTGTGTGTGTGTGTGTGTGGTGATGTGTGTGTGGTGGTGATGGTGTGTGTGGTGGTGGTGATGGTGGCTGTAGTAGTGGTGGTGGTGGTAGCCAATGGTGGTGGTGGGGTAGTGAGTGGTAGTGGTGGGGCTTGCTTCGCCCCAAATTTTAGATCTCATTTACTGAGACTTAACCGGGATATATCTCCTCTTTAGGGCGGGAGGTTGAGATGAGAGGACTGAGGTGAGGGGGTAGAGAGGAGGTAGAGAGGTAGGGAGGTTACAGTGAGAGGTAGAGAGGTAGGGAGGTTACAGTGAGAGGTAGAGAGAATAAGCTTAGGTAGAGACACACACACAACAGAGAGAGGGGCAACTCCCAAAGGCTCCTCTCCTCCCCCCTCCTGTATCGTCATTACCAGCTGTACACACATCTCCACTATCCCCGGACCCCCGACGGCCCTTAAGCTCTCTGACCGCTGCTCCTGGGCCCTTATCTATGTTACCAAGGTTTGTTAGCGATGTGTAGGCCCCAACCATCGTCTGTATAGAATGATACGGCCTTAAAAGCAGTGGGCCCCTAACCTAACCTCACCTCTCCTGACCTGACCTGACCTAACCTGACCTGACTTAATGTCTACCACCTCATACAATGCCTTACCGCCTCATAATTATTACCTTGTTGCTTACAGTTATGGGCGGACGAAATACTCAAGATGGCTTATAACCTGATCGCTACCAACGCCTCGCCCATCACTTTCCTCCACAAGGCGTACAACAAACTCTGTCTCACAGCTGATCGTCACAACAAAGTCTCTGTCAAGAAGTGAGTTACCCCCCAACCCCCTGTCACTCTTCCTATTAATGGTCACTCCCTGTCAATCTCTTCCTACTGCCGGTCACTCCCTGTCACTCTTTTCCTGCCCCTGGTTACCCATTATGAGCTCCTCCCCCACAGGTGCTCTTTCGACTCCTGGTTACCCCCTTATGAGTTCCCCCGTCACTCCTCTTACCTCTATTCACCCTTTATGAGTTCCCCCGTCACTCCTCTTACCTCTATTCACCCTTTATGAGTTTCCCCGTCACTCCTCCTACACCCAGTCCAGACCCTCAGAGTATTGAGGTTTAAATCTACCTTCATACTTATATATTGTCTACCCTTTATTCTATACATTACCTTAAACTTCAAAGTTATTTTCTCCTCAAATCTACTTTTATAACTTTTTTCTACTTTTTTATAAATCAATCTTACCTTCATTATATTTTGTCCTTGTATACTTTTAACTCCTTACTAATACTTTGTAAAGTTTCATTAACGCTTTAGTATATAATTAAATTTTATCGTAATTTCTAAATGGAGTTTGAAAAGTTTACCTAAAAGTTTATAATATTGTGTCAAGTTTTTTTTTAGTGGTAGGGTTTAAAGTTTTAGAGGAAAGTCCGTTATATGAAGTGAAAGTCCGTTATATGGAGTGGAGAGTCCGTTATATGGAATGGAAAGTCCGTTATATGGAGAGGAAAGTCCGTTATATGGAGTGGAGAGTCCGTTATATGGAGAAGAAAGTCCGTTATATGGAGTGGAGAGTCCGTTATATGGAGAGGAAAGTCCGTTATTGGAGGGTCTGTCAGATATGAAATCCTCCATCTATCCTTTCCATCCTTCGCCCCCCTCCCCTCCCATGCTACCCTTGCCCCTTCCTTTCCAACCTCCTCCCATATCAAGCCCCTTCCGTCCCATCCCCCATTACCATCCCATCCCTCTACAATCCTCCATCCTATGTCAGTCCCTTCCGTCCCATCCACTCCCATGTCAGCCCCCCCCCTCCCATCCACTCCCATGTCAGCCCCCCTGTCCCATCCACTCCCATGTCACCCCCCTGTCCCATCCAGACCCCATGTCAGCCCCCCCCTCCATCCACTCCCATGTCAGCCCTCCCATCCACACTTCCCATGCTCACCTCCCCTCCCATCCTCCTCCCATGTCGACTCCTTTCATTACATTCTCCTCTCTCCCATCCCTGTTTTATAATGCTTCCTTCTTATCTATATCCCATCTCCTCACTTTCCATCAACCGTGAGATACTTGGGAGCAGATTAAATCACTTAAGCATAAAGGATACAGCCTGATGGTGTGTGTGTGTGTGTGTGTGTGTGTGTGTGTGTGTGTGTGTGTGTGTGTGTGTGTGTGTGTGTGTGTATAATACATATTAATGAATAATAATAATTAATGTTTATTGAAAGAGTTTGGCAGCCAGGAAGGCAGGTGGTGTGTGTGTGTGTGTGTGTGTGTGTGTGGTCGATGGAGGAACCTTTTCCTTCTCATCATTTGCATTTTCCAATATTAAGGATGTGTGTGTGTGTGTGTATGTATGTATGTATGTATGTATGTATGTATGTATGTATGTATGTATGTATGTATGTATGTATGAATATGCGTGCGTGTGTATGTTTATCAGGCTCTCACACACTCTTTATCATTTTAAGCCAGTGTTCTTTAAATATACATACCTACAAGTGTATATAAATTAAACTAGTGGAAATTTATATTAATGTTTATATATTTGTAATTTATATTTTGATCTTGATAATTATAATAGAATGATTATAATGCCATGATATTGTTTACCTTTCAGTATTGTTAAGTTGTTTGCACGACACGGGGACGATAAGAAGCGAGTCGAGGTGGCGTTGGAGGCTGCTGGCTTGCCCTCTGGGAAGGTAAGTACCCCTGTGACTCATGTTGACTCACGCCTATAAATCAGTGAGTCATCTACACCTCAAACACTCATCATATCATATCTATTTACACACCTTCATATAGCTCTATGCTCATTGGCTACTACAAACGACCAATCACCGCCCACTAAACCAATAACACCAGCAGGACAATCGAATATATTGTCCTCCTGAACTACCGTCGGTTATATTGCTGTGCTGTTCAACCACTCACCTGTTAAACTGAATTAAAACCATGACAAGGCCGGGGCTGGGGAGTCAAGCTGGGGAGTCAAGCTGGGGAGTCAATCTGGGGGAGTCAAGCTGGGGTAACTATGGTTGATCGGAATATCTTGTTTTGTCCTTTATCTCTTTCCCCTACCTCTTCCCCTTCCTCCCTCCCCTACTTCCTCACCTCCTTACATCGACACCCCCTTTCTCTTTGCACCTCCCTATTCTCCTTCCTCCTCTACACTCCTCCCCTCTCCCCACCCTCTCCTCCTCCCCTCCTCCCCTCCCCCTCCCCTCCTCCCCCCAGGCATTCAGATGAGGTTGGTCCTGGCGTCCCTATGGTCAGACACCACAGGACCCCCCTCCTCCCCAACAAAGACGTTGGCCTCAGGCCCCTCCTCCTCCTCCCCGTTATCGTGGCGGGGCTTTCTCTCCCCTACCCCACCACCACCACCTACCTTCACCAAGTTCCCCCACCAGCCCCACAACCCCTCTGGTTCCCCCCACCAGCCCTGCCATCATGGGTACTCGCCAGCCTTCCCTCTTAATTCCTTGTGTGTCTTCCGTGTCTTGGGGCTGCCCTCCCTATCTCTCCTGCCTCCCACCATACCTCCACCCCATCCCTACTCACCCCATCCTTTCTCTCCCCATCCACCTCTCCACCCCCATCCACCTACCCACCCCCATCCACCTACTCCTCCCCACTACACTTCACCCATACACCCCACACTAGAGAGACCGTGTGTGTGTGTGTGTGTGTTTGTTGTGACGCTGAAACAGTTTTTAATCATTTTCAGGAAACCTTATGAGTAAGTGGACAATCAGAGCACACCCGATTCATTACCTTTTTATTAGGCACGTTTTATTAATTATTTTTTTTAATACGAATACATGCAATTTAATATATGTATAGACACGCACATATGCATACAATACATACATACAGATACATTACAAACATGCACACACACACGTAAATTACACACATGAAAACTGACAACAATTCCAATAGGCTCGTGTCTCCTCTTCCTTCATTAATTAAATGTTGTGTAAATAGTCACTTTAACGACCAGATGAGAAGGTAAATTAATTCTGTAAACCCTGTAATTTTTTTCAGGTATTTTTTTTTCTATAAAATTACTTGTTCCATTACTACAACTACCACCACAAATACCACCACCACCACCACCATAACCACAATTCAAAAACATCACCATAATCACCACAACCACACCATACCACAACCATACCATCACAACCACACCACACCACACCATCACAACCACACCATCACAACCACACCATACCACAACCACACCATACCACAACCATACCATCACCACCACACCACTACAACCATTCACCACCACCACCATACCATACCACACCACACCATACCACCATCAACAACCATCACCCACACCTACCACAACCATACCATCACCACCACACCCTACAACCATTCACCACCACCACCATCATTAAGAATATGTGTATCAACCCCACACCCCTCCACCCCCCTCCCCCTACCCTACCCCCCCACCTTGGCACGAGGGCGTCTGGCCAAACTTTGTCGAGTCACTTGGCTAATGCATATAAAATTCATTACGGCGGATTGTATGAAAGCAGAGACAGTGTGTTCATTATGCCTGGGTGAGGTACTGGCTGTTGACGTCACCATTTGGGGGGGGAGAGTGAGGAGAAGGGAAGTAGGAGGGGTGAGGGAGGAAGGGGGAGTGGGGAAGGAGTGGGGAGAGTGAGGGAGAGGGGGAGTGAGGGAGGTGAGGAGGAGTGAGGGGACTGATAGAAAGTTCAGTTAGGTTAGGTTAGGTTGGGTTAGGGGATAAGTTATATATAAAAAGTTCAAAACATAATTTAGAGAGCAGTAGCTGTGTATAGGGAGGAGGAGGGCGGGGAGGAGGAGAGGATCGGGAGAGGAGGAGAGAGGAGCAGGGAGAGGAGAGAGGATCCAGCTGTGATGAATGGGGAGGAAATGAGCAAGAGGAGACTTTATCAACCCCGGCAAGACGCTAAATTTAGTCGCCAATGGAAAGGAAGCGGAGACGACACAGCAACAATCATGTTTTTGAAGTGATGGAACTACTGTCTCACCACCACCACCAGCAGGGAGCGACGTGGGTGGTGGTGAGAAATCTCTCCTCCTGTCATTCTCTCGGCGAGCGAGCGAAGAGAGAGAGAGAGAGAGAGAGAGAGTGGACAACAAACACAAGATCTAGATATCCTTAACCTAACAAATTCACTCGATGCCTTTGACGACGATTTAACCTTTGACGACGATGATTTAACCTTTGACGACGATGATTTAACCGCTGACGACGATAGTTTAACCTTTGACGACGATGATTTAACCCCTTGACGACGATGATTTAACCCTTTGACGACGATGATTTAACGCGACGACGATGATTTAACCTTTGCAGACGATGATTTAACCGCGGCGACGATGATTTAACGCTGACGACGATGATTTAACCCTTTGACGACGATGATTTAACGCTTTGACGACGATGATTTAGCCTGACGACGATGATTTAACCTTTGACGACGATGATTTAACCCGCTGACGACGATGATTTAACTGACGACGATGATTTAACCGCGACGACGATGATTTAACCCTTTGACGACGATGATTTAACCCTTTGACGACGATGATTTAACCCTTGACGACGATGATTTAACGCGGCGACGATGATTTAACCTTGACGACGATGATTTAACCTTTTGAAGACGATGATTTAACCCTTGACGACGATGATTTAACGCTGACGACGATGATTTAACCCCTTTGACGACGATAGTTGCTTTGACGACGATGATTTACCCTTTGACGACGATGATTTAACCCTTGACGACGATGATTTAGCCCGCTGACGACGATGATTTAACGCTTGACGACGATGATTTAACCGCGACGACGATGATTTAACCCGGCGACGATGATTTAACCCTTTGATGACGATGATTTAACCACTGACGACGATGATTTAACCCTTTGACGACGATGATTTAACGCTGACGACGATGATTTAACCCTTTGACGACGATGATTTAACCCTTTGACGACGATGGTTTAACGCTTGCGACGATAGTTTAACCCTTTGACGACGATGATTTGCTTGTGACGACGATGATTTAACCTTTGACGACGATGATTTAACCCGCTTGACGACGATGATTTAACCCAGCGACGACGATTTAACCCTGACGACGATGATTTAGCCCGACGACGATGATTTAACCCTGACGACGATGATTTAACCCGTTGACGACGATGATTTACTTTGACGACGATGATTTAACTTTGACGACGATGATTGCTTGACGACGATGATTTAACTGACGACGATGATTTAACCTTTGACGACGATGATTTAACCCTGACGACGATGATTTAACGCGACGACGATGATTTAACCCTTTTGACGACGCCGATGTAAACAGCGTAAGAATACCTGAAAAAAATAAAATTCCTCCCCCCAAAATTAGGATGCAGGGAGAAAAATATATATTTGGGCTAATACGTAATTATATTCAAATGAAACTGCTTGGGAGGGCTCAGTGTCTCGTAAACTAACTAATGCCAGTAATAAGACAGCTTAATCTGGTTAGGTGGATAAAGTGACTCAGGAGTGGTTAAAAAAAATATATATATGGATGTCTGTGGTTAAAATAGGTTTTGGTTTATTTTACAAGTGGGGGAGAAAATGGTATATAAAATGATATGGTAGGATTTTTTCTTTTGTGGGGGGCGTGCGTGTGTGTAGCTCTTTTTCCTTCATTCCACTGCGTTGAATTGTAAGTCTTGGCTTGTTTGGGTTGAATTCTGGGTCTTACTTCTCGTGTTGTGTTCCCAGTGGCGTTCATTCTAAGCCTTTGTATTTCTGGCGTTCAAACCAAGCTTATAATTGCACGTTGGACCCCTTGACGTTGATTCCCGGCGTTGACCTTCACGAGGTAATGGTTCCTGGCGTGGAGTCATAATGGTGCTGAGATTCGGGTCTTCTGCTGTAGTGTGACCCACTTCTTCGGGAGCGTCTACGTCGTTAGCATGCTGGGAGGTGCTGAGTCGAAGTTCCTTGGGGAGAGAGGAAGGAAGGGTGGAGGGGTGGGTGGAAGGGAATAGTAGGGTGGAGGGTGGAGGAGGAAGATGGTAGGGTGGAGGTAGAGCAGGTTGGTAGGGTGGAGGTGGAGGAAGATGGTTGCAGTGGATAGCCGAGAGACAGAAGGAGTTTGGTGGGTGGGACGGGAGTAGGTGGAGGCGAGGAATGGGTGGAGGGGAAGAGTTTATGGCCAAAGTTTGAGGGTGTGGATGGGAGATTAGGGAAGTAATCTCAAGTTAAAGGGGGGAGGGTTATAGGGTGGGTGAATATTATGTAGGGGGAGATGATCTGTAATTGCTGTATGTGGGGGGGTGTGTGTGTGTGGGGTGTATGAGTGTTTGTGGGGGTGTATCTCGCTCTGGTCTGTTTGATAAATGTCATACACGAATTATAAAATAAATGCCGTACTATATTTAGATCATAATCCATACACGAGAACGTTCCATCATCCCTGGTTCATTCCATCATTCCTGGTTCATTCCATCATCCCTCCAACACTGCCCAACAACGTATAACACTAATAATATCGGATGGATCAATAAACCAGCCATAGAGGTGATAACAGTATACATTATAGACGTAAATATAGCTCATGGTGGCGGCGTTGTGTGTGTGTGTGTGTGTGTAGTTGGTGTTGGTGGTGTGGTG